ATTGTTGGGGTAGGGCTTCTATGACGAGCATCCTGAAAAATCACACTAGGGCTTGTTTTCAGGTTAGGCCTTATTTTCGGAGAAACAGGGTACTTTACTTTGATTGGTCGCAAGACCAGATGGGCGGGGTATAAATAAAATAAAATTTTAAAAATAAATAAAAATAAATAAATGGCACTGTACTTATTCGAACGGCTTTAGAGAAAATGGAATGAGTTTGCTTTGCGTGGGAAAACACCTCCATTTAACAACTGGCTTGATTTTTTTCTGAATGTAATCGTTTTCTTAAGGGAATGTTGCTGTTCTGATTTCTACTTGAAAATGAACTAACAGAAGACAGTCCTGATTTCTCTCTGTCCTCTGTGTCAAACGTAAATAAATCTTCCCATTAACTGTACCTTCAAGACCTAGTGTCATTTTTAATTCTGCCCTCCTAACCATGAAGGTAAAAAAGACCTCAGTTTCAGCAGGTGGTCCTTTCAAAGGGTGCAGAAGGGCACACAAGCAGTTGAGGAGGCAAGAGTTGTGCCAACCCGCTCTTCATATAAAGGGCATACAATGAACTCTGCTTCATTCTAACTGTGCCCTGCACAGTTAGAATATTTCTGAACATTCCATGATGCCACAGCTAATCAACAGAAGGCATGCAGCCAGCCGGCCGTGGTCATTTCCATCCATCATTAGAGAAAGAGAAAGGACCTGGCGCGTCTTTCACAGATGGCATTGGACGATTCTGGCATTATGATCGCGGGGCTCCAGTTCGAATTCTCCAGGAGATACAGGCAGTAGAAAATATTGTAATGGATCCTGCAAGAACAGAGAAAATGGATAAATCCCGATAGGTTCCTAACACTGTCTGTAATTTGACATTTTTTTTGGGTAAAGGGCAACACAACGGGGCTCTAAATGAAGTGGGGAAAGGCTGACCCTATGGAATTGCAGAGAAGGACTTTGCCAGTGTTTCTTGAGAAAGGTCAGGAGTTTAGGTCTTTAAAACCAATAATATTTCTTTTGATCAATGGCCTCCAGGACTTTGAGCAATTTCTCCAGTCCTGCAACCTAGCATTCTTTTCCTCACCTGCCAACTCCAGGGGTTGGCACCAGGAATCGTCTGTATGCCAAGCGGACACTCACCCACTCCCATGAAGCTAAATCTCTCTCTCCCTCTCTCTCTGGGGTCATGCCATACCTATGCCTAGCATTGGTCTGGAACATGGTATGTGTGTTAGAGTCTCCTATCAGGCAACCCTCAAAATATTGTAGTGGTGCAGCCGGCAGTTTGGACTCACAAACAAAGTGGCTGAGATTTCTGCTTGAAAATGAACTAAGGGGGAAGAAGGTTTCCGGCTTCCCTGATTGCTACCTGGCTGAAGGCTAATGGGATCTGTAGTCCAAACGTCTGGAGGTCATCAGGTGTTCTATCAGTAGCTTAGATCAGTGGTTCCCAACCCTGGGTCCTGGACTGCAACTCCGAGAATTTTTGTTTTATTTATTTATTTATTCCATTTTTTTACCCCACCTATCTAGATACTATTGGGAATCTACTCTGGGTGGCATACAAGACATTAATAATAAAAACACAATTAAAATAACTTTGGTTGCAAGGGCAGAAGCCTTTGCCACCAGCTGTGCCGGCCAGGATTTCCGGGGGTTGTTCTGAGATGCTTCCAGAGAACATCTGGAGAGCCAAGGCTGAGAACCACCCGCCTAGCTCAGCAGTTCCGGACCTTGAGTAACCAGATGTTCTTGAACTGCATTTCCCAGAAATCCTGGCCAGCACAGCTAGTCGCAAAAGCCCAAGTCCAAAAGTCCAAGAATACGGGGGGACCCAAGCTTGCAAAAGCTCCTTGGAAATGCAGTCCAAGAATACGGGGGGACCCAAGCTTGGGAACCATTGCTCTAGAGTCTAGACAGATGTGTAAGTTCCAAGACCCATAAGGAACAAAGCCAGAGAGGGTTGGACGTTCACCTCCTGTTCTGACATGCAGGTATGGTGGGAAGTGATGTCACGCAGGGAGGGTTTACGGAGCACCTGGGAAGGGCTACACATTCTGCTCACCCATCCCTGCTCCGGAGACCTACCGGTTATTGACGAGCACCTCCTTCACTCGCATGGCAAAAAGCAGGGTGGCCATACAATACAAAGCTTCCATGACGTCCCTCGGCGAGAGAGCTGAGCTGGGGCTCTGAAGACAACCCGCCAGCTCCTGGATCTCCCGAACGCTTCCGGATAAGAGCACGATCGTGGATATCACGGCCCAAACGTAGGACGCCTGGAAAGGCCAAGGAAAGGACGTTCCACCAATTAGGGTGGAGAAGGTTTCGGAGACAGATAGTGCAAAATGGAACAAGATCCGGCTGGTGCCAGCACGGAGCGGAGGAACCCTCCGGCGGAAGGAACTCCAAGGAGCTTTTTGAGAATTCCAAGGCACGGCCACTAAAGGCCAGTCGCTCCGACAAGCTTTGCGATACCCATTTCACAGACGGGCAAGGAGAGGTGGTGAGTGGAGGGCTTGTATCCCATGAACTGCTCAGTTCAACATGGACAAGGTGTGCATCACAACTCACTTGATACCTTCATGGTGGAAAACAGCTGAAGTCAATTTCACAAAAGGTCATAGAAGCCACATGACAGTGGCAGAAGCAGAGGTAAATTTAAAAGTGCAGGGGTAAATTTAGGGGTAAATTTAAAAGGAGAATCAAACAAGGCAGGGGTAGATCTTGATCCACATATGAAAACCAGGTCTTTTGCAAAGCTAATGGTTCTTCCTTGCCTATTCACAACCAACCCCCCCCAAGGTTTTGCAATACAACGCAGACCGTTTGCAGAAGAGATTTGTGGAGTCCTAGAATAACTGGGTTGGAAGGGGCCTCCAAGGCCATCCAGTCCAGCCCCCCTGCTCAAGGCAGGAATCCCAAATGAAAGCAGATCTGACCGGTGTTGGTCCAAGTTTCTCTTGAAGGCCTCCAGCGTTGAAAAGTTCGCCACCTCCCTTTGAGGTCATGAGTTCCCTTGCTGTACTGCTCTAACAGTTAGGACGTTTTTCCTGGTATTCAACCTAAATCTGGGCCTCCCCCCCCCCACATGGGAGTTGCTATGCATTGCCAGGCCATGGCACCACCTCCAACTCAAAAAGGCATTTTCAGCGACACCCCAAAACTAAAATAAATAAATAAATAAATACAACCCTACATAGGAGGAGGAGTGGAAGACCAGACCTCTATCCGGTTCTTGATCGTAGGGGAACGTACGAAGCGACACTCTGGAAAGGTCGCTGCGTTTACTCTTACCTGGGGACTTTGCATGTTGGGCAGCCTTCTGGTCACACAGAGCTCCGCCATGGGAAACAGAGAGTGACGTCTCAGACACCGGAGGATGGCTTCAGGGTCCCGGCAGCGCTGGCTCTTCAACGCCGCAACACAGCTGTGTGGAAATCAGCAGAGGTTAGAGGAAGAGGTACAGACCACCGGGTCCGTTCGCTTCGTCTGGCCGATACGGTCCAAAAGACCCCTGGCCCAACGAGGATTTGGAAAATCGACTCTGTTGAACAGCCAGCCTCAGAAGACACAGCCAACGTCTGAGTTATAATCCAAAAAGAAACTTTTTCCAAGATCAGGGTTCAATAGACTTCGGAGGTTTTTGGAACTTATGCAAAACCCTTTGCAAACCCTATTCAGCCGACGTGCAAGCAGGCCAGGAGGACGCAAGACAAGCCAACGGTTCCCTCTTTCGATCTCAAGAGAAACAACAAGGACCAATCATCCTATTTCCATGCTTCAAAGGTTGCTGCGCCTATATATAACAGGACTGGGCAACCCGTGGCCTTCCAGAGGTTACTGGGTTACAATTCCCATCATCCATCCCCACGCAGGCTGGGATAATATAAGGACCTAAGATGAGCCCTGTGCTGGATCAGGCCAAGGGCCCATCTTGTCCAGCTTCCTGGATCTCACTGTGGTCCCACCAGATGCCTCTAGGAGCACACGAGCGACCCGTCTCCTGGCACCCCTTCCCCTGCATCTGGCATTTTGAAGTCCCTTCCTCTTAAGCCTGGAGATGATACATCCCCATCATGGCTTGTCACCTGCAATGGACTTTTCCTCCAGGAATCTTTCCAATCCCCTTTGAAAGGCCTCTAGACCAGATGCCGTCCCCACATCCTGTGGCAAGGAGTTCCACAAAGAAGTTTTTCTTTGGTCTTGTTCTCACTCTCCCAACCCTCCATGGGAATGGAGGTTTCCTACTTCTGGTCTTGCGTGAGAGGGAAAAGAGCTTCCCTCTCTCCACTTTATATCCATCATTTATTTCCATCCCCTGCATCATTTTAGACGTCTCAATCCTGTGCCTCCTCAGGGGCCTTTTCTCTAGACTCAAGAGCCTCAAACGCTGTAGCCTTTCCTCATTAGGGAATGTGCCCCAGCCCAGTCATCATTTGAGTCGCTCTCTTCTGCACCTTTTCCAGTTCCACCATGTCTCTTTTGAGGTGTTGCAACCAGAACTGTACGCAATACTGCAGATGCAGCCTTACCACCGCTTTGTACAATGACAGGAGATGCAGTCCGGCAATACCTAGAGGGTCGTTATATTCCACACACCCATTGTGTATCAGTAGAATATAGCCTAGCAAGGGATGGCTAACCATTTGGCATCCACATTGTATTCTACCATTCTACATCGGTAGAATAAAGCCTAGCAAGGGATGGCTAACCATTTGGCATGCCTTAAAGAGAATGATGAGTATATATGGTAATAAGAGCTGCCTTTGTCTAGCACAAGAATACAATACTAATGGGATAAACAAGACAATATAGCCAGTATCTTGTCATACAACTATTTAGGAAGCCAAGACTCACCGTATAAATCCCAGGATGGGCTGATTCTGCACTCGGCATAAGCCGTATTGCTCCAGAATTGCCATGACGTTAGAAGCCGCCCCAGACTCTTCCCTCGTATACTGATGGTACAGTTTCTTCCAGGGAATGAACTGAAATGTCAAAGAAATTCATCACCCTGAAAACTGTTTTTAATGGACCTATTATCTCTTTTAGGGATGTGATTCATCTGGAATACCTCCCGCACGGGGGGCATGATTTTTTTAAAAAAAAAAACAGTGAAATGTAAGGCAAGCGTAGAAAACCTCCAGTATCAAGGGGGCCATTACGCCCTCTCCCAAAATATGATTTTTGGCCTCCAGCCCCAGAGTCCTTCAGAACGCTCCATCTTCTTTCTTCAGCAGGGGAAAAATAATTAGGATGCAAGAAATGTAAACAGATCACACAAACCCGGCCTTCTCCATTTCTTTGGGTCTAAGAGGAAGAGAGGAATGACCATCAGTTTCTTCACTTTTATTTATTTATTTATTTGATTGATTGATTGATTGATTGATACCCCACCCAGCTGGTCTATACGACCACTCTAGGTGACTAATTCATGATGCCACATTATCTTTATCTCATTTGCCAGAGAGGTAGGAATGCATCTAACCTATTTTTATGTACGACACGTTGTTTTCGCAGGAAATCTAGAACAGGGCTGGCTTAGGATGATTCACGTTTTGGACCACATCTCCTGGCATTCTCCAGCCCTTATGGTCTCCCCTCAGGGATTCTGGGAGCTGTAGTCCGAAACAGATTTCCACAAGCAACATCCTGTCAAAGCAAGCTGATGCTCCCACATAGAATTTGTAGGCTCCTTCAGCACCCAACGCCACGAGCCACGAACAAGTCGAGAAGGGGGTAGCTTACCTGTGGGTCCGAGATGATCCGATGCCAACGATGACACACCAGGCTAAGGCTCCGGTAGAGATCCACAACGGGCATCAAGGCAAAGATTTCCTGAAGGACTTCATCGGGCAGCTGGTCCATGGATCCCCGGGGCACGTCCCAGTTCTTTGTTCCCAGGAGCCCAAAATATACATCCGGAAGCGGGTGAATCTCCACGCCGTCAGCTTCCTGGTGAACATTTCCATCGCCCAGCAGGCACTCCGAAAAGCCTTGATTTCTCGGGTCCCATTGGCCATTGCCTGTGTGGCTGTGGTGGTCTCTCGGGGAGAAACACGGCCGTTTTCTAGAAGTCTCCGGGGCCACGTAGCCTTCCAGAAGGGAGCACGAATCCTCGTCACTCAAGAGTTCCTCATCCTGAGGCCTGAAGGATTCCAGCGGCTCCTCGGCTTTGATTTTACGGATTCTCGACATGTCAGGCAGGCATCTCGAGGAGGCGCTTCTGCGTCTGAAGTAGTCGGTGATGCAGCTTTGGCGGCCCACTCCTCCAACAGAGACAGAAAGGAAGAAAATGGCAGACAGCGCCAGCCAGGAGACGACAGAATATACTAGTGGATTTGCTAACCTTGTTCTAAAACAGAGGGGCACAAATGAAATTGCACAGGGAATAAGTGCCAAGTTCTACTCCTAGGGGGAGGACAACGGCACGTTACAAAATGAGGGATCCTCGACTCAGTAATACAGTGGTGCCTTGCTTAACAGCCGCCC